GAGAGAGAGAGAGAGAAACTCTTGAGGAAAGAGAGAGTGACAAAAACTCTTGAGGAAAGAGAGTGAGAGAGAGAGAGAGAAACTCTTGAGGAAAGAGAGAGTGACAAAAACTCTTGAGGAAAGAGAGTGAGAGAGAGAGAGAGAAACTCTTGAGGAAAGAGAGAGTGACAGAGAGAGAAACTCTTGAGGAAAAACTCTTGAGGAAAGAGAGTGAGAGAGAAAGAGAGATTGAGGGGGGGGAGACAAAGAGAAAGAGAAAGGGATCGCGGGAAAAGAGGTGTAAAGACACAGCGATGACAAACCAAAGCAAACCCCAGATCAGCCTCCCCGACACTGGATTCGCAATGCATCGAAATTAAAACATCGGGTGGCCCTCAAAATTGCTCAATTATTTCTAATCGGACGCGACAAATAACAGATCTCGGATACCAAGTTTATAACTTAAACAAAAATTAACAATTTATTGTGGAGAATACACACCTTTCAGCAGAACACAGATGAACAATGTAATTAATATCTCCAACTGAAGTCCAAAACTCTCACTCGCGCATTGACAGACAGATGGACAGACACAGTTGAGGGACAAATTAAAATATAAAGGCATCATAATTTGTCAGCTCAATGATCTGTTTGCACCCTTTAACATTGGGTAGAGAGTAATTCCAATGATTGACAATTACTGAAATACTGAAGTCAGCACCAACTCTTTCCCACTGCATTCTAGAGACATTTCCTTATTTCTTACAAACAGGCATTTCTTTTCTCAGAACAAGTTGACAACTGGAGATTAATGAGAGGGAGAGAGTGAAATTAGCCTCCCGGCCTGTCAGACCCTGCAGCAAAATTGCCTCCTCCCCCAAATACCGGTTCACAATTTAGTTTCTCCTTCTTTTTCAACGTTCTCTGTGATGGACAGGTCAGCGTTGTTCCTCCAACTAGCCCGCCAGTCCCTGAGCGTAGCAACGTCTCCGGTAGCGACTTGTCTCCAGTGCCCTGGGAGCTTGTAATTAAGCTGGCGTTATCTTTCCAGGCCAGTTCCCAGCACCAAGCATCCAACTTTTGTTCCCTCGTGTTTTTCTAAACGCGAGCTGCGGTTCGCAATTCAACTCTCAAATGCAACCAGAAGTTATAAACCAGAAACAAAAGAGAAAAGTCAAAGTTAGAGATGGCCACAACAAAAAAGGGAATTAAGAGAAAAGAGAAAGACTAGACTGGGAGAGAAAGGAAGAGTGATTGAGGAAGGGGAGAGAGAGAGAGAGAGAGTTAGAGAAAGACTTAAGAGAGTAGAGATATCAAAGGAGGGGAGAAAAAGAGAGAGAGAGATATCGAAGGAGGGGAGAAA